AAAAAAAAAAAAAAAAAAAAAAAAAAAAAAAAAAAACAAGAAAAAAAAAAAAGGATAAGGTTCGGTTCCTTACAATGGATCCATCTACGTCATCAGAAACTGAGAAGGACATCAACTCAAATACAAAATAAAAATAAAAATAAAATAAAATCTACGTCATCAACAGGAGTCGTCGTCCGTCTCGACAAGCGATTCTGTCCGCTGCGTACGAGGGACAGATGGTAGGCCCAGACTCAAATGCCTGACATCCATGTCCACAGCCCAAGCTGGCAGCGGTGCCGAGACGTCGATCTCCTGGCCTGTAATTGGGTGTCGAAATGATATGCTTTCGGCATGAAGGGCATGTGAGTCGCACTGGACCCCGTCTACATGTACTTCTCCACAGTACCGGATGTCCCCCACAAGCGGAATTCCCTCAAATAGACAATGAAGACGTATCTGATGTGTCCGTCCCGAGACAGGATAAGCACGCAATAGAATCTTTCTCCTCGATTGAACACACTCCCCATTCTCAACACTACCTCCTCCTCCTCCTCCTCCTCCTCCTCCTCCTCCCCCACCTCCTTCTCCTTCTACTACTTCCCCTCCCTCTGTCCCTTGAATCAACTGATTACTGCTATACATTACTTGCTCCCACTCTCCATTTCTTCCTCCTCCTCCTCCTCCTTTTCCTCCTCCTACTTCTTGCCCCGGCTCTTCTCCTCTTGCCAGATCCGCTGCAGTTGATGGAGATGATGACGTCAACACAGCTTCTGCTGCTACTGATGATGACCGTGATGGTAGCAATGGTAATGGCGATGATGAAGATGCCAAGGGTCCTGATAACGATGACGACAATGATAATGAGGAGGAGGAGCAGGAAGAAGAGGTGGTGGTCCATCCTGATGATACCAATACTGATTCTTCCGTCTCCGCTTGAGATGATGATATTGCCAAGGAGGAAGAGGAGGAGAAAGTCGATGATAGCACGAACGATGCTTCTGTTGTTATTGCTCCTTCAGCTGATGATGAACATAATACTGCTGAAGCCATTGACGACGACGACGACGACGACGACGACGATGATGATGATGATGATGATGACGACCATGGGCCTAGTTCCTGTGTCATAGCTGCCGCCGCTGTTGATGATGATGATGATGATGATGATGATGATGACGATGGGGCTAGTTCCTGTGTCATAGCTGCCGCCGCTGTCGATGATGATGATGATGATGATGATGATGATGAGGAGGAGGAGGAGGAGGAGGAGGAGAGCAGTTGTGGATGTCTAAGAGTGTCGTTTCCTTGGATCTTCAGGACCACAAGTTTCGTCTGCATATCACGGACGACGGACTTGTCAGGTAATTCTCGTTTGACATCTGCAAGGTCATACACTCGCCACGCGCCATTTCTCGATCGCCCATGGCCTGTGTGAACGGTCAATGCGCGCCAAGCCGGCACTGGGCCGTAACATAGTGCCACGTAGGTTTTCCTGATCATTCTGCGCTGAAAAGCTTTCACCAGCTTGGCATTGGCGCGCTTGTGCTTGGAAACCATCACCACACCGCTCGTGTCCCGATCCAGACGGTTCAACAGTCGCAGCTGGTACAAGTAATTAGGCTTCAGCTCATCTTTTTTGCCATTTTCCTCATATATATGTATATTTTTTTCACCGTTCTCGCCGTTGTTGCCGCCTGGCATTGGCGCGCTTTGGCCCTCTTCAGTTTTTTCCACTCGTTTGTCATTTCCCGAGCTTGAGGAAGCATCTCTCTCGGCCCAGGCGTCAATGTGAGTCGCGATCCCGACTCCTATGTCGGTCATAAAAGAACAAAACGAGCTTGAGGAATCCACATGATGACACGTGGACGTTCCCGCGGCTACACCGGAAGGCGAGGAGAAGGAGGAGGAGGAGGAGGAAGAGGAGGAAGAGGAAGAGGAGGAAGAGGAAGGGGAGGAAGAGGAGGAGGAGGAGGAGGATGGAAAGGAGGAGGAGGAGGAGGAGGAGGAGGATGAGGAGGAGGAGGAGGAGGAGGAGGAGGAGGAGGAGGAGGAGGAGGAGGAGGAGGAGGAGGAGGAGACAAGGGTGTGAGAAAGGGTAACATAATTACGGTGATCAGCAATTAGGGAAGCATCCGTCGGAGGAGGAGGAGGACACGTGTCCAAGGGAGAAGTAAGTAACGGAGGAGGGGATCCTCCCCCCGGCAGATCGATGCCTGACACGCCAGCACCATCTGCTTCCCATCCCGACTGCGCGGATGCAGCAGAATTCGGGGCAGCCTCCTCATCTGCTCGCCAAGCTGATGAAGGAAGACACGTGTCCAATGACGACAACGATGGGAGATCTTTTCCCTCTACTCCCCCGTCTCCTTCTCCTTCTCCTTCTCCTTCTCCTTCTCCACCTCCTCCTCTTACTCCTTCCCCCACCTCTCTCTTTCGTCCTCTTCGTTGTTTCCTTCCCTTCTCCCAAATGCAGTCCCTCCACACCCCCTTGGCCGTTTGCGGCAGAAATAATGGAGGTGGGAGTCTCCAGACACGTGGCACGTCCCTAAGCACATCCTCCGAGTACACCCCTCGTGGCTTGTTGATGACCATGAGATACTCGTCTTCGAATAGAACATGTTCAGGGGTGATGACAGGACCAGAGCGCGCCAAGTCCTCCGTGCGCAGAGCGCGCCGATACTCGATCTCGTGGACATCCGCACTCGGATATGGCGTGATTGGAACGGGGAAGAGAGAAAGGTCCACGTCAGCGAACGCGTTCGCTACAGGTGATGACGTCAAAGACGGCGAATCGGGCCGATCCGGCTCATGGTCGGGGCCGGTCTTAATGGTCGACGTACACGGCGGCGGCGGCGGCGGCGGCGGCGGTAGCGGCAGCGGCACGCTGGTCTTCAGGGAGCCATCAGCATCTAGCGCATCGATGTCCATCATAGGGAGAGAAGGAGGGAAAGGAGGAAGGGAGGGAGAGAGGAAGGAGGGCCGGGAGCAAGGGAGCGAGGAGGCAACGGATGGCCGCGGGAGGGGAGACGTGAGGGAGAGCGAGGAGAGGGAGGAGAGGGAGGAGAGGGAGGAACGGGAGGAGAGCAATCCGTGAATACTCCGCATACTTACTGTTGACCCGGGAAAGGATAATTGCTAGCGAGGGGGAGTGTCCGTCAACGGAGGTTAAACGAAGCAAGGCGGTGCCATGTCTAAACCATCACCACACCACCTCCACAAGGGATACCTGCAACTCCACTCCTGCCGAAAGTGCCTCTCTTTGTCTCTCTCTGTCTCTCTCTGTCTCTCTCTGCCTCTCTCTGTCTCTCTCTCTCTCTCTCTCATACAGAAGAAAAGACAGTCTCCGTCATCAGTGTAACGTTATTTTGGCGGCCATGCATTATGCAGAGAAGTGTGCTGGACCTGCACTCAACGGGCATCCGCCTCAACGGGAAAAAAATTGACAAAGAGCAATGCTGCGCATGAAAAACAGAACCGAGTACCCTACGCACATACGATGTAAAACGAGCATCATGAACGAGATACAAGTTTCTTTTCTTCTTTTCTGTTCCCTTTTGTTTTTTTTTGTTTTCTGTTTTTTTTTTCTGTTTTCTTTTTTTCTTTCTTTTCTTTAAGAACACAGGCAGCCTAATTCGCAGCCAAAGGCTGCGTCTTACCCCGTTTTGTCGTGTAGCGGGGCATCCTTTTAATGGAAGTGTCAACGAGTCCGAACGGGGTTTATGGGGAGTCTACAAGGTGCACGGTCGGGGGCAGGGCACAGACCGGTAGCCAAAATGGTCGGCTCAGAGGTTGGAGTGCGGGCGACCAAGGGCAGGCTGCATAGGTCGTTGTTTGGCCGTGGCCGACGTCGCCCGGCCTTTCCTTTTTTGGGGTGGACGTTTTATTTTTTTCGTTTTGGACTTCGTTTTTGAAGGAGGGGGGGAGGAGCAGGCGGGGTCTAGTAAGTGATAAGTGACGGAAGGGATGGCCAAACGCCCTCGCTCCACCACTGTGCAAAATGTGATGTGAATAATCCCGCTAGAACATGGAAGTATACACCGCCATAGTTTTTGTCTTTTGTGCATGTGCTGAGTAGTGCAGCGAGGCCCAAAGGTAAGGTTCAGGGCATAGCCTCACCATTCTCAAAATTTGCAAAATGGGAATGAACTTCTGGCTAGAACATGGCCAGATGCACCCGCCACATTTTTTGTCTTTCTTTCACATTTCCAGAGTGGTGTGGCAAGGCCAAGAGTCCACGGCGGTCGATCGATGGTGTTGGAGGCAGGAGGAGTGAGAAAAGGGCCACCTCGCCTGTCCTGCTCCTCGCTCCCGTTTGGCTGCGCTCCCACACCCTGCGCGGTACACAGTGTCGTATGATCCGGGCACTTTGGCCTGGTTCATACGACAGCTGCTTTTGAATTATAAAAGCCGGAAACCGGATCCCGCGTCCCTCACATCATCGAAAAGGCTCAACAAAACGAACATAAGAAAAGAGTATGCCAGTAACAAAATCCTCCATCCTCTGTTAAACACCAAACCCGGCAGGGGTCTGGGTCGTCGGGCCCCCAACCGCAGACTCAGACCCTGCAAAGTACCACCGACCTCCTCGTGATTTAGAGCGGATCGCACCACCACCGACAGTCACCTACCAAAACTGCCAACTCCCACCATGATGGCAATTTCGCTAACCTTCGGAAATACCCTACCACCCGCGCCGCAGGGCCAAAGACCCCGCAAAACCCACCCACCTCCTCACGATTTAGGGTACACCACTCCTCTCATCTGCATTTCGCCTCGCAATTGAGTCTTCACCGCCCTCCATGATGAAGCACCCATGGAGCGACACTCTCCAATCCCAATCAAGAAAACAGGATGTCAGAAGAGAAATTCCAACCACATGCAAAAACCAATCCAACAGCTTGTCCCCTGTGGGAAGGCCCTACCACCCGCGCGGTTAGGGTTAGAAGACCCTGCAAACCCACCCGCCTCCTCGCGATTTAAGGCTAACCACTCCCTCAATCTGTGCCAACCCCCTAAGAGACCCCACCGCCCACCATGACAAGGTCTGTGCGGGGCAGCACTCCCAAATCATCTCAAGTAACCATAAAAGGAACAACGCCAACCTCTACGGAACCAAAAAATAAAAAACGACAATCTACTATGATCCCTAATTTAAAATAAGCAAAATTCCACGAAAGGGATCGAAATTCCTTCATGCTACCAATAACAGAACTTCAAAATTGAAAAAACGTTTGCCTAACTCGGCTAAACAGACACACAAATCCGACCTAATTAAGAATCTAATTGTAGTAAACAACAAAAGCAAAATTGTCATTCAGGAAACTAGATGCAACAAAAATACGAGAGCAAAATTAACAAATCCTAACAATAAATAGTAATTTCACAAACCAACAAAACATCCAAAACGTAAGACTACACTAAACAAAAACGAAGTACAACACAACCAGAGCAAATATTCCTTTATCATAATGAGGAATAAGACTGCCAACATTTATCAACAGTAGGCTGAACGAAACCCTATCACGCCGAAGTCGCCCACACCACCTTCACAACAGCGAGGGAGACTAAGAGCAGAGTCACTACAGTCCACGTAAACTCGCAGCAGTCCATGTACGTCTTCCAACAACTTTGACTCCATCATGAACAACTTCCAATGCCAACTATCCACAAAAATGCATATATGAGACCATGGGGTTGAAGCTCCTGATCATGCTTCGTTTATACAGTTTCATTAGGGTTACCGGTAGTACAATGTGGAGAACTGAAAAAAACACAAAAATTGAAAATGGGGTTAACATCCTCCGCAATTTATTCTGTGGTTTAACCCATTTTTTTATTATTTTAAATTATTTTTTTTGGAAAGACCACACGCAAATCTACAGACCCTCCAATTTTCAGAGTCTTTGACATACTCTTTGGAGCACGAAAAATCGCAGAAGTTGGAGTACTTTTTTTTTTTTTTTTTTTTTTTTTTTTGAGAAAAACGATATTGATATCAAATTACCGGGAGGTGGGCCCGACGTCCCTTACAGATTTTCACAGCCCCAGGCCAGCGCCCAACTACTCCGGCCGGGTGCAGGTCCATGCTACAGAAACAAAACCAAACCTAACCCTTCAAATTATAGATTTTCACAGCCCCAGGCCAGCACCCAGCTACTCCGACTGGGTGCAAGCCCAGGCTGCAGAAACAAAACCAAACCTAACCCTTCAAACCAATACTGAAGCAAAAGTAGACACAACCTATACCCCCATCCTGTGGGACTGTACTAAGTACATTGCAGATGTTCCTCACATACTTTCACAGCCCAAGGTTGCGCCCAGCTACTCCGGTCGGGTCCAGGTCCAGGCTGCAGAAACGAAAACAAACCCAACCTTTTCAACCAAAAAAAAAAAAAAAAAAAAAAAACCTAGACAACCTATAACCCATAACCCCGTCCTGTTACACTGTACTGAGTACATGGTGAACATAAAAAATGGTACAATTATACAATTGCACAGCCAGTCAAGCATCCGGGCAGTGATTGTCACACGTGCAATGTTCGTTAGAGCACCGTCGAAAACAACAACATTTCAAACTATATTACACTGTAATCTACTGTATTCGAACTGTATTTCACCACAACTTCACAAAGAAAATGACGAAAAAATGAGCTTAGGTGTTCTACGAACTCCTACAGTAATGTTCACCAAACCTGAAAATTGTGTCCAATGTGAACATAACTTATTCATCGGTTTGGTTTTATACCCTTTGTTCACAACTTTGTGGCCAATCCATAGCAATGACTTGTTTGATATTGAACTTGACTTCCGCTCTAATCATAGGAGGGGTAATCCCTTCCTCTAACTGCCGAGTTACTGAGGGTCCACAACGTCGAGAGGATCGCTCCCCTCAATGATTCTTCAGCATAGCCTAAAGCTCCAAGAGATGATTGTCTGCAAGACGCATTTCCAAAAGGACAAAATCATCAGTCCATCTTGAAGAATTTTGTGGGATCGGGGGGACTCTGCCCCGCCACCATTCCCAAAATGTTCTTGATAACTTGCAGTGAAGCAACATATGTTGCAAATCTTCGATTATAGTTCCTAAACATATGACACACAAGGGCGTAGCTTTGGTCGTTCTTTTAGCACACCAATTGGCCGTTGGCAATGCTTGATGCATGATGAGCCACAGTAAACTGGTTTGTTTAACAACCGACAGATTCAGCAACAATTTCCAAAAGCGCGGCAGCGCCGAAGCCAGATGTTCTGTTGTATCTTCCACCCAACCAGAAGCAATCCAGCTTCTGGCCACCTGCCACCCGATATCTAGATCTGGTTGAGCTAGCTGATATCCCAATCTCGTAGAATCGTCATAAAGGCACATATGCTTCGCGGGTTCGACCGGATGTTTCCATGCCCAGTCTCGCGGATCCACTAACAGTTCGCAGGCTGGAACTGAAGCTGCAAACGACCGAACACAATCATGGTATTCCAACACACACACTGAGGAGAGTTGCACCAGTGGAGGATGAGGTGTCTATTGTTCCTCGAGGACCAGTGGTTGGCCCAGGGATTGCTGTGGTACTTTACCTGATTGTCCACAAATGGAACTGTGGGAAAACTGGAACATGTACCAAATCCACGTGGCGATTGTTTCACGGTCAGAATGATTTTATTTATTTTTGTGATATTTTTCCTGGAAAGATCACGGCCTTATCTAGTAATGTTTTCACCTGAATACAACGCCCGCTTATTATGGCTGCATTTGGACTGGAAATTGCACTAAATACGGCTATAATGACCAGATGTTCTATTCGAATGAAGACTATAGAGCTCATATATCAGAATTTTCTCTGAATTCTTCTGAGCTGGTAGTGCTCATATATCAGAATTTTATGTGAATTCTTTTGAGCTTGAAAAATTATCAAAGTGGCCGCTTTCCATGGCTACGATCCGGACATCCGGACCACCATCCAAACGGTCTGGATTCACTCCGGACTCCATACGTCCGGTCTGGAAGGTCCCAATTTGCCAAAATTTGAGGGGAAAAAAAAAAAAAAAAAAACGGTCCAAGACCCTTCCCCATTGAGGAGCCAAGCCCCCGAAATT